AAATAAAGCTAGTAATTTATAGAAACTTGAAAAGAAAACACAGCGTAACACAAGAGAGATGCTACACGATTTGTTTTTCTTATCTTCTAGCTGGTGATTGCATCTATGGTGGGAAGACGTACAAAGAGTGGGAGTTCATATCTGATAAACTATGTATATGCTGGGTCACTAATGTTTTGTGTGTAAAAAAACAAATATAATGTATTAAGTGTAATGAAAAACAATTAAAGTTAATTTTAAACGAGTATGTGATTTTTTTAAAAAAACATTTTGAGAGTAAATTTGTGTAAATAAATACATTTTCGTTTATCAATTATTATGCATTTTAAGAAATAAATAGTTTTCTAAACAATAACTATCCTAATGTATAAAAGCCAATGTGTGACATTCTCTCTCTCTCTCTCTCTCTCTCTCTCTCTCTCTCTCTCTCTCTCTCTCTCTCTCTCTCTCTGTCCGCAAAATATTTTCACATGCTATTTGACCAGTATCTTCAGCGATATGTGGAGACATTGTCATAGACGTTTGTTGAAAATAATATTTTGGGTGTTTTAAATGTATAGACTAAATTTTATTTGAAGAAGGAAAATAATAATAAAGGCATATTCGAATGTAGAAAAACCGTTGTAATTATGTAAAAGGAAAAGTGTTTATAGTTTTGAGAAGAACGCAATAAACAATGACGTCACATGCCACGTGTTTACACTAAGGAAAGATTTTATTAGTCAACACAGCACCACATTCAATGCACACGCTGATTAAGAGTCTTAACATTAAGAGACACAATTTTGCTGAAAAGCCGGCTGTTCGATGGTAGTTATATTGCTTTTGTCTTTTCAAAACACGTAGTTCGGCCGAGCATGGGTCTGACCACACTAACGTTTCATATGCTGAGAAGACAGAAACAGGTGAACTATATTTCACCTGCTCCGTGCAACTTCATCATTCTCATCTAAAAAAAATTGAAAAAAAAAAGATTCACTTGGTGTGTCTCGAACCCGTACCACCCGCAAGGTAACTATTACTCTATCAGCTATTTAGGCACTTTGGCTTTGATGCTGAATAAATGGGCTATTTAGGAAACTAAAGTACGCGAATATGCACTATTATTTCAAATTAAATTTGATCCCAAATTAGTTAATTCCATAGCAAAGCAAGCAAAGATGTATAAAAAAAATCAAGCCCTGAGATAGTTAAGTATAGAAACTCATTATTGGCGTACGTCTTAATAAGTAGATCTAAAGCAAATTCGAATGAATTAGTGCATTTCTTTATATTTAGTTTTGTGTTCTTTCCTTATTTTTAAACATGTGTCATTTGACGTCATTGTATATTACGTTCTTGGCACGACAATAAACGCTTTAGTTAGAAATATGTTTCTACATTCGAATAAGCTTTTACTTTTATTTTCCTCCTTGAAATAAAATTTATGTAAGCAGTTACCCCACGTATCTAGATTGATCTTAAAACCTAAAGTTAATAGGACTACAATATGAAAGAGGGAAGGCTGAATTAAACCTGACAACTCAAGCGAAGGCTACAATTGTGAATTTAGATCGATCTGTAGGTTGTTGATGGTGTATATCCAGCAGGAAAACCACAGGAAAGTAGATGTGCAGGCGCTAAAGTGAACATTTTTACGTGTCTGGCGTCAATAAGTAAGCTAAGAAGTAAGCAATACATCTAATTGTAAAGAGTTATTAAAAATTGTGTACATAACATAAGAGTAGTTTCAGTAATGTGTTTGCTGTATTGTTTTTTTTTGTGTGTTATTATTTATATTTGTTTTGCGGAATTTGTTTTAAATTACATTTTATTTAATTTGTCTAAAAATATTCGCCACCATCCATAATACGGTTCAGCGGCCGCTAACCCTGCTCCCCCCCCCCCCACAAATTAGCAAGTTCCATAGTTAAACAAAGATTTCTATAAAATATGTTTACACCGGTGTCCGATAATGAAATCTTCTTTAAAAAATGGGTGTTAGGTTACTGATAGTTAAATAATACACACTTGTCTGGCTAATGTCTATGCTAACCCTGTCCCTAACCCTAAACCTGGTCCTACCATACGCCTAACCCTAATTTCTAACCATAAAAATTAGTCGAGATTACAATACTACTAACAACCTAACACCTCTTTTTTAAAGAAAATTCCATTATCGGACACCGGTATCTATAATCATCCGAGTCTAAATCTAGATCTTAGCGACTTAGCTTCTACGTCTAGTTTTTTGCGTAGATTTAGATCTAGTTTAGATCTAGAATCTCTAGATCTAGAATCCAAATAGATACAATACATTTTTACTTTCTCGTATATACGTAGTATAGAGAAAGTATTGTAATCGTGCAAAAAAAAAAAAAATCGAGATTTTTACAAATCTCGACGTTTTACACCTCACTGATACGGAAAAACATAATTTTGCAATCTTGTCCGTATGTCTGTGTGTCTGTCTGTGTGTGTGTGTGTGTGTCTGTCTGTCTGTCTGTGTGTAAACACGATAACTTGAGTACCATTACAGCTAGGTTGATGAAATTTCATATATAAGTATTTTATCAAAATCGTAGATCCGTATTAACTTTTGAGCGATTTCCGATAACCGGAAGTGGTACTTTTCCTACTTTGAATTTTTTAAAAGCCTATAACTTGAGTACTATTTCAGATAGATAAATGAAATTTCACATGTAAGTAAAAGATCTAATTCTTTACCTTCTGTTAAATTTTGAGTAATTTCCGTTGACTGGAAGTAGTAATTTACGCTACTTCCGATTTCTCAAAAAACTAATGTAAATTTTTAAAGTACTAATAATATTGCGCACTATTATACGCGTTTTTATTCGGCGTTTGCTTGGTGCGCAATGTTTTTTTTATGAGATTCTATTCTATTTTTAAAAGTTTAAGTATTTAAAATGGATTAAAAATCATAACTATATCCCCAGTTACCATCCCCTGTTGTTTTATATAAGAATATTCGAGAAAGTTTAGGGGAGATCACTACCGGTTTATTTTAAACATACATTGTAATAAATTCGGAAATGTGAATTTATTAATTAATATTTGCTTTTTATGTCGTTTATGTATTTGTTGCACACAAAGCCGCACAATAATAAAGACATTTCGGTATAGTTACTACAAATTACACAAACCCTGCCCAGTTATAGCAAGTTTTTGCGCTTTAGACGAGATTTGAGGTTTTGACTTTTTACTTTCTCGTATATACGAAGTATAGAGAAAGTCTTGTAATCGTGCAAAAAAAAAATCGAGATTTTTACAAATCTCGACGTTTTACACCTCACTGATACGGAAAAACATAATTTTGCAATCTTGTCCGTATGTCTGTGTGTCTGTCTGTGTGTGTGTGTGTGTGTCTGTCTGTCTGTCTGTGTGTAAACACGATAACTTGAGTACCATTACAGCTAGGTTGATGAAATTTCATATATAAGTATTTTATCAAAATCGTAGATCCGTTTCAACTTTTGAGCGATTTTCGATAACCGGAAGTGGTACTTTTTCTACTTTGAATTTTTCAAAAGCCTATAACTTGAGTACTATTTCAGATAGATAAATGAAATTTCACATGTAAGTAAAAGATCTAATTCTCTACCTTCTGTTAAATTGTGAGTAATTTCCGTTGACCGGAAGTACTAATTTACGCTATTTCCGATTTCTCAAAAAACACATGTAAATTTATAAAGTACTAATAATATTGCAATTCTTTTTTCTACTAGATTTGTATTCTATTTCTAAAAGTTTAAGTAAACAAAAATCATGTCTATATTCCGAGTTGCCATCCCACGTAGTGTTATATTAGAATATTCGAGAAAGTTTAGGGGAGATCACTCCCGGTTTATTTAGTTTAGGCCGGAAAAATTGTATTGTATACAAGATAGAAATGTATTAACCGAATAGATTCTAGAGCAGATAGTGTCTAAATTTAGAATCTAGATCTAGATCTAGACTCTAGATCTTAGCGTCTACGTCTAGTTCTTTTGCGTAGATCTAGCCTGGGATATTATCTAGATCTAGAATCCTAATAGATGAAGTGAATTTTTTAAGTTTAGGCCGAGAAAATTGTATTGTATACATTTCATAGCGTACGTAGCTCTAAATCATATTTGAATGAAATAGTTTATTTCTTTTTATCCTAAACTCGGCAGATGACGTCATTAGTTTCGTGCTCTTTTAGTGTAAAAAATACGCGACGACATTGTTAAGTGCATTCTTGTCCCAAGTATAAACACTTTCCCGGTTGCATAATTAAAATGGTTTTTCTGCATTCGAATACGCCTTTATTTTTTATTTTTCTTCTTTAAATTAAAATTGTGGTTATACATTTAAAACATCTAACATATTATTTTCAACAAAAGTCCGTATAAAGTTCTCCATATATTCCTGCAGCTTCTGATGTGATATCCGGCGAAAATATTTTGCGGACAGACAGACACAGAGAGAGAGAGAGAGAGAGAGAGAGAGAGAGAGAGAGAGAGAGAGGAGAGAAGTGCGCACATGGGCTTTTATATATTAAGATATATTGTTTCGTTTGTTTCTGTTTTGTAAAAAAAGAAATTTTTTGGAGAAAATATCCTACATTCCTGACGGTACTTATAAGTACCAATATATGTTTGGGTAATTAAAAATTTACGAAACGAAATTTCCTTCGACATATGCTTTAAGTGTGCCAAAAGCAATATGATAACACATTGTTGAAAACAAAATTCATTCAGAACCTAATTCCGTAAAATAAAGGGTTAACTAAGCTTGGACTGTACAGGAAAAATAAACGTTTTATTTTACCAAACAGTCCTACCATCTGGGCAGGATTAAACCTTATTCTCTGATAGCTGTTTCTGTCTTCTTAGCCTTGACATGTCTGATAGAAATCGTTGGTAAGTCAAAGTTAATTAATCTCCAAAAATCATTATCTATAAAAATGGTTCAGCTTCTCCTGCCCCCCTCCTCCCCCTTGCGTACTTTAAAGCCATAATAATACATTTCAGTTCTTCTTAATTCAACTGACAGTGTAGAGGAAGAATAAACGTTTTATTTCAACAAACAGTCCTACCATCTGGGCAGGATGAAACCTTATTCTCTGATAGCCGTTTCTGTCTTCTTAGCCTTGACATATCTGATGGAAATCGTTGGTAAGTCAAAGTCAATTACACACATTTACTTATACCTTAGTGATATGTAACGGTGTAAAACAAAAGTAAAATACATACCCGTGGTAATGTTTATCGTTTATGTAATTGCTCTGCAAGTGTAGTATATGTGTAGTTTTCTCCCTTAAAATTGTATAATTCTCGTTATTTTTCTTGGCATGGTAGGGCCGTAAAGCTCATAGATGCTAAGCCGTAAAGTCCCGAGTTTGAACCCTTGAGCAGACAAGACTTGATAGCTCCTTATCTGATGATCTCATGGCCTTGGGAAATGTGTTGCGGACACAGAGAGAGAGAGAGAGAGAGAAAGAGAGAGAGAGAACATGTGTGCACATGGGCTTTTTATATGGTAGAATAACATAGCCTTGTCCTCAAGTCGTCATTGAATTCACATGATACCGTCTTCATACCATATAGTCGGTATTTCTTTAACTTTTTGCACGATCACACTTTATATTAGTTATATTGGTGGAGCAAAATGAAGTAGGAAAAGAAAACTAGTACAGCTGGTTTGCTGTCCTTAGCCAACAAACCTCATTAGCCCGCGGGTCCGAACTCGGTACTTTTGTAAGTAATCATTTACTCACTTGCCCGACCGTGCCATACCCACGAAAGAAGACAACTTTTTTCTTACTCAAGCAATGTTTATTTGCCTTCAGAGTTTTTTCCAGGCATCTCTTCGAACGAAATGAAATTTATATAATTTATATAGAAAATATATTCTTTTAACAGTGTCCGCCCCCCCCCCCCCCCCGAAGAAAGTCTACAGCCCCCCCCCCCGAAAATTTCAAGTGCCCCCCCCCCCCCCTTCGGAGAAAAAAGTCTGGAAGAAACACAGTTTGCCTTATTGTAGCTATTAAAAGGATTCGCTTCCACATGGGTTGCTGTCCCTAGCTATAGAGTATCACTGTCAAGTGGTTTGGACTCGGGGCTTTATTATTCAGCAATCATGAGCTTTAACGGCCCAAACAGGCCGATCTCTACTAGTGTTATTAAATAGTGCTTGATTCATTAGAGCTTGAAGAACTATGGAAATTGAAAGCTAAAAATACAAACATCGTTTCTGTGCAATTAATTTGATTTATTTCAGCTGGGGAGTGCTATATCGACGGTAGAGTGTTCCAACATTTGGAGACGACCGACAGATTTGGAATGTGCTGGTGTATTGTCAGCAGAGAGGCCTGTGCTTGAGAGAAACAATCTGTATATTTGAAGTGCTGATAGAGCTTGGAAAGTGAAAATAATTTAAAATAAACTTGGAAACGTGTTTGTTCGATTCTACTTAAATTCTAATCTAATTCTCTCTAAATCTATACATGTATGCATATATTCACGAAAATACAACAGATATGTTTATACGTAATCATCTTAATTTAACATTACGAAAACAAATTCAGATATAAAATATGTCGAAAGAATAGATGCCATGGACAAAATATTCCAAAACACAGTATTTCATCTCGAAATATTTCACTGATATAAAAGATCATAGACGCAATATCCTAGGATAAGATACATCAGGAAGGACGACGTCATGGACAAAGTATCCATGACTTAGATTTTTCCGTGATACTTCTTCTTCTTCTTCGTTCTTAATTATTAGTGTTGAAGGGGATCGAGATTTATCTGCCAGTGGGTTTGAACTCGATACTTTGTTCGAATTTATCAACCATGAGCTTTTTGCCGACTCGACCACACCTCCAACACAATTAAGCGTTAAGTGTCAACTGGTTATGCGCCATTGAGGCCATTGATTCCGATTTCAGACGTCTTTTCTTTTTGGATTTGCTTCCATAGCCTTTGTCCAACCGAGAACAAACTACAAGGCAGCAGCTGTTTAATTTTGGAGTTGTCTCTCCTAGAAGAGTGGCTGTCCCCAGTTAACGAGCCTCATCCGCCCGAGGGTTCGAACTCGAGTCTTTTCGGTTTAGCAACCATGAGCTTTACCGACTCGACCACGCCGACCGCTGATACATTATTACAAATTTTTAAACATGTCTGCATCTAAGCACTCCATTTGTAGTTTAATATTTGATGGTAAAATTAACTGTATGCAATGTTTGCCTTATCTAAAACCAATGTTCTATACACTGGGTAGGTGAACAAAACGCCGATTTCCGTGGCATATTTTATCGAATATCCAATATCCAAACTGGCGTGTAAAGTCCAAAAATGATCTATGTTAAGGTTAGACGTGGTGTGAAAGGAAGCAAGCAGTTGGCACTAAACAATGTCATCTTGCGTTCCATCAAGGTGGTAGGTAATACTTGTATGGTGCATTTTTGTGCTACAAAAGTCAGTCATGAAATTTTAGGATCTATGAATGTGTTTGAGTTTTATTATTTAATGTTAATATGATTATATTATATTTAAAAAGCACATTAAACCAGAGACTCCGTATGGTAATAAATTTCTGAGATATTTAGTCTCGGATATTTAGTCAAGAGATATTTAGTCCTGAGATATTTAGTCTCAGATATTTAATCTGTGATACTTTGTTTTGAGGTATTTAGTCCTGAGGTATTTATTTCTGAGCAATTTTGCCCTGACATATTTAAACCTGAGAAATTTTGTCTAGAATATTTTGTTTGAGACCATTGTCTTTGAAACAAAAAATATACATAGTTATATATTTATCACTGCATATTTTAATGTTCCTGTATATTTTTGTATACATACATATATGATGTATGATATATAATATATGATATATGATATATATATATATATATATATATATATATATATATATATATATATATATATATATTTATATATATATTTATATATATCTTGTATACACAATTTTTAAACTGCTATTACCTAAAACCTTAATCAATTAAAATGTCCTCAACTTGAAAAAACACAATAGAAAGCAAAATAAACAAGAACACAAAACAGCGAAATACAAGAAGATACATACACGTAACTCCACGTGTTGAATATTGTATGAGTTTCAGACATCTATGGATCAAGGCCATGTTTTGTGAGCGATGATTAAGCCTGAAATCAAACAAATCAGATAAAAGAAATGTAAAACTAAAGCATTGAACGTAACCTTTATCTAAAGTAATAGAAGAACATATTTTTATGTTTTGACAGAATGAGAAAGTAATTGTATTTGAGACATTAGAAGATCTATTTGTTTGTTTTTAGTGTGGTGCCTGAATATTTATGTAGAAGAAAAAAATATACACTTTTTAAAATACTAGTTTGCGCCAACATGGTTTGATATTGAGTTTCTTCCAGGCATCTCTTTTTCAGGCGGAAAGTCTACCGAACACCTGAACGAAGGCGAATTCATATAGAATATAGGCCTATATACTTTACCAGCGTCCGCCACCCCGGAAAATTTGATCCGCCCCTCCCCCCCACAAAATTATCAAATGCCCCCTCTCCCAATCCCCGGATAAAAAGTCTGACAGAAACATTGGTTGAAAGTAGTGTCAGTTAATTTGGCTGATATCAATCAATAGCTTTTATAACTGAAAACGTATCAATTATATGTGTCACGAGAATTGTTCCTGGAACACGGCTAGTTTTTGGTCTTAAATATAGAAGACATTTTGCTGCTAATATTGAGCCTAAACATAGCAAAATCAAATCTAGAAATTAGTTTAATCTTCTCATTTTAGTAGATGTAACATTTATCTTTCTTCAAACGTGCAGTCAATATTATTTATGTTCAGTATCTTTATACTCAACTTAAGGGAAAACAGTATTAGTAATTTAGTCATCGTTGCTTTCACAATTTAAGTTCATGTGTGCTCATCAGAGCTAGAGAGACAAATGGGATCCTACGGTGCACACAATTATAATTAAATTTGAGACGTTGTGCTCTCACACAGGACAAGGGCCCTTCTTGATGGTGTAGAGCTTAAAGTAATTCGTGTTAATATTGATAAAGAAGATAATATGCCATTGTAACGATGATATAGAAGATTGTGGAATGTTTAAAAAGAAGATGGGAAGTTGAGTATATTTCGCATTTATTATCCTGGTGTAACATTGAACAGAAGGTCTAGAGTTTAAAACATACACACACACACACGCACGCACGCGCACACACACATATATATACACTCATAATAACACAAACACACACACACACACACATATTAGTAATCAGTAAGATAATTTGGCGTTATGTGCTGCTGATGCTGTTTAAAACGACGACGAGTACAATCTAGTGTTGTAAACATATGTTATCGATAGTATTTAGTTTATTTCATGGATCATTGTTGTCATTATCGGTATGATTGTAACCACGGTTTGTCATCCCTATGTATGACATATGTGCAACTAACAACCTGAATGCTGTTTTACTATGTAAATCGTATAGATACTCTACTTGTTTAATATTATGATCAATTTAATTCAATAACTGTTCGTACCGAGGCTTTAGACACATGCAGATTTATATCTAACATAAAACCTGAAACGACAACCCCATACACCTGTGTTTTTAATTATTTATCAGCTCCCAACACTGGGATAGACATGGCGAGTCTTGATTGAAAGAAAAAAAATCCGTTTTTAGATTATATTGTTCGCAAACAAAAGCCTATACCTAGATAACGTACATTATTGATTGAATCAATACGTCTAGTTGAAAAAACGATGCATGCCTGATAACATGGGAATATTGATCGGCAGATCCAGAGGCGTCGCGAGGCGTATCTGGGGGGTGTGGAGTGGTGACACCATTTAAGGGGTGATAACATGGCAAAAGGTTGAAAAATATATAGAAGAAATATGTTTTTGCCAGTTCTATTAATGATGAGCTAGAGCTAATCCACCTATTTTAATAACTGACAATAGATGAACATCATTAAAATTAACTGTACAGTCTTTAAAACTATCACCCGTGGGTGTGGAGGGGGGGGTGGGAGTGAGAGTGTAACGCCAACTTCAAAATTTACAGAGTAAAAAGGTTTTTATTGATTATTTTGAATAACTAATAAAGTAAATCAACGACCGGGGAACGTGTGACACCAAAATCTAATAATTTACGATAAAAACCGTACTTTTTCCACATAAACTAATTGGTGGATTAATATAATGCGCGCTAATTGACGCCATTAGACATAGTGGATGGGGTAACATCAATTGCAACTTTATATATATATATATATATATATATATATATATATATATATATATATATAGGCTTATGCGACGCCACTGGGCATATCTTTGCTTTGCCAAACACTCCATGGTCTGGGTTTACACTTATACTCTTATACTTATAAGACAACCTTATTTTTGCCTAATTGAACCCTACTTTTATATTAACAAACAACCCGTGTTTTCATCGATTTTAACCGTTGAACTCTTATTCATCCTGTGCCACTTAAGACACTTTAACAAATCTTCGTCTGGTTATTAATTCACCAAACAGTGATTCAAGATTCTTATCAATCTTTTCAGCTGGCCTTCAACTTTTCGTTATAGAAAAACAACTGTGAACTTCCTTCTTCTGTAAATTTTGTAAAAAAAAAAGTATTTTTCACTTCATGAGCCATTCAGTAATTATGTTCGGTGGTTCAACTTTTGTTTATCAAATGCAATGAAAGACCCTACAGTTAACGTTATAACCTTCAGTTACAAAACATGATTTTTTAAAAAAATTATTTAACTCATAATTCAATGTTTAAATAATTCATATAACAATCTCTCTCTCTTCTCTCTCTCTCTCTCTCTCTCTCTCTCTCAATATATATATATATATATATATATATATATATATATATATATATATATATATATATATATATATATATATATATATATATATATATATATATATGGAGACCATAGAAAACACCACGCAGCTTAGCCACCACACTCATCCCCACCTGTCAGGTGAGCTGTGGTCCACTCCGAATGTTTACAATCGTAGAGCCGGTTCGAATAATTGACGGCTATTAGGGGCAGATAATTTGGTTTTTAAACGATTTGAAACTAAGGGGAGATAAGTTCTGCTTGATACTGGGCGGGGTGGGGTGGGGGGGTGGGGCAGAGGTGTGGGGTAGTGTCGAATTCACAAATTATGAATTGTTGATAAGTAGAAAATAAAACAACTAGATAGCGGCGTATGTTACGTCGCGGGTCAGCTCGTATAGTATATTTGATTACAAGACAAATGACCTTAAATAATCAGGTGCCCATAAGAATTGGGTGGACTCAGGACGTTCTACGTACTAAAACTTACATCTGAACTCGATACATTCGGGTTGGCAGTCGTATGCTCTACCATTCGACCAC